CTGGGCTTGATGAACCTGTTTTTACCCACCTCTCAAAATGTCATTATAATTCTGGTTTGTCAGCCTGTGTCTCCCAAGAAAAGGGGAAACAACTGTTTGGCTTCTCTCTCCCCGAAGAGCCAGCTCAGGCTTCCCTGTGTTATTATTTTTGGGTAAGAGGCTGAAAGCACACAGATGAGGTTAAGACCATGGGCTTAGGAGTCAGACAGAACTGGCTGGAGTCCACATTCCAGCAGAGAGACCACTCGGCGCTCTGCCCATACAAGCCACTCTGGCTTTCCCCTGTCCTCAGACAAGCCAAACACAGTCCATCTCCAGGCCTTCACACTGCGCGTTCTCTCTCCCTGGAAACCTCTTCCCTGAGCTGCCAATCTGGTTCAATGTCTCCTCGGAGAGGCTTTTTCTGACCATGCCATCTCAGGTCGAGGCCACCCTCCCTGTGAGTTCCCCTCTAACCTGCTCCCTGCTTCAAGCTCTTCAAGCACATTTCATCTTGTGCTGCTGTCCACATGTTTATTGGATTCCCACGAGAACGTAAGTGCCGTGAGGACAGGGCCTTTGGCTGTCTTGTTCACTGCTCAGAGCAAGGCCTGGTAGGAAGCAGACACACAAAGCCTATTTGTTGAAATGAATGGAGAAATGAATAAAGTTGTTTAAGTTCTCAGAACCTCAGTTTCCTCATCTCTCAAGTGGCTCTAAACCTACCATAGCGAGTTGTCAAGACTGAGATATGTATGGAAGTGATGACCTTGATATAGGCTCTTGATATAACATGGTGACTCTGAAGACCTTCTTGACCACCTAATACTCCCTGGGCTCCAGGGGTCAGTAGATATCTCCAGAGGCTTATTAACTGCTCTTTTAGTCTGCTGGGTGGAATAGGCGGAAGAAATATCCTTGCCAACAATTAAATTGTTTAAAGGATAGTGCTGCCAGTCGCGCATGATTGTTATTTCAAAGCTGGTGCTTTGAGGAGTTGTAAACAATCTTCTCGGAGGCATTCCCATGGCTAGGCATTAGCTTGGACTATAATCTCACTGTAAATGTGTCTTTCCTCTTTAAGCAGAGGGTCATTAAGTTTAACAGTGTCAAAGCACTCTCCATATTACATGCAACTTAATTAGTGTACAAGGCAATATTAAACAGCCCATTCACACTAAGAAATATATTTATACTTCTCTTTCCTTGGCTTATATTGATTTATCCCATGACACACAGAAATGTAAATTACAAAGGAGTAATTATTTGTTCCTGTAAGAAAGGAAGAGATTGAGACCTGTGTGCCCACATGCTTGTTTGGGATGCGGCACTTGAGGAGGGTGGCAGGAGAGGAGAAGCACTTGGTGGAAATCTCATTTCCTCAGAAAACCTCCTCAGACTCCAAGGCTGGGTAGGTCCCCCATTTTCCTCTCCCAGAGCTTTTCTTTCAACACATGCATCCAGGGGGTTTATCTGTTTATCCTCTGTCTCCCCATCTGCATGTGAATTCCAAGATGGTGGGAGTGGGATTGTCCCAGTCACTACTGTATTCCCACGTCTAACACAGTGTCTGGTGGATACGAGGTACTCAATCACTATAAAAATATGTTCCAACACATGTTTACTAACCCCTTATCTGGACCAGGGATTCTGTACTTCTGGGTGCATGTGTTGGGGCAGGGTTATCAATGGTCACCAAATCAGAGTTAATGACCTCATGGAGTTTATAGTCAAAATGAGGAGATAGACATTAATTTTTTTTTTTAATTACAACTAAAGATAGGGTACCTAGTGCTATGAATATCTATTCTAGGAGTCTGACCTAATCAAGGAGGTCAGGGAAGTTTTCCACAAAGAGGTGATATTTAAGCTGAGATCTGAAGGATACGGGGGCATTAATAAGTGCAACAGGGAAGGGAGCAAGTCGCGGCAAAGACCCCAGGGTAGAAGAGTCCAGGGGCAAGTAAGAGAACCCTAAAGACCAGTGTGGCTGGAGAGAGAGGGGCCACGGGGTCCAGATGAACCTGGAGGGAGGGGGAGGACTGAATCCCACAGGACTTGGATGGCCACGATGCACAGCATCTAATTTGTGGATTGAATGGGAAGGGATTTTCCCAGAGATTTCTCCCCTGGGACGTCTATTCTTTTTCTCAGCACATTCGTTTCAGAGAACCAGGGCCAGCATCCAAAGTGGAGACCACCAGGCTCTGGTCGTGTTGGGGTTGATTTTATTTTCCTAAGATTGTGGCCACATGAACTCCCATCCCATATGCCCTTCTGTGATGTGACCTGACTACAGCTCCCTTGAGCCTGGGCTGGTCTGAACTGTAACCAAGAGGATGTGGTGGAAGAGAAGCTGTGTGACTTCTGGGACTAGTTCAGAAAAGGTCGTGAGCTTTGTTTTCTTTTTACCTAGCTCACCTGGAACATGTGCTTTCTGGAGGCTCCTCTTGGGAGCCAGCTGCCATTCTGGGAGAGGGTCAAGCCATGTGGAGAGGCCACATGTAGACCCTCTGGTCCATGGTCCCAGCCAAAGCCCAGCCTTCAGGTCACCCCAGCCCAGGCACCAGGCATGTGAGAAGCCTCCCAGTGATTCCAGCCACCAGGTGTTCAGTCACCCTCACCCATTTGAGCCTTTCCAGCTGAGGCCCCAGATACATGAAGCTGAGTTAAGCTGTCCATGGAACCCATGTGTGTACTACTACAGTTGTGGTCTTATATCACTCAAGTTTGGGGTGGTTTGTTGTGCAGTGAGAGGTAACTGGGACACATGTTAAAGGAGCCATGATAGGCAATTTTGCCCAGAGCAACAGGGTGGCATCTGAGTCGGTTACACTCACCTGAACTGTGATCAGACTGGAACTCAGAGGTTATGTTTAAAGGACTTCAATTCTCCCTTGTGATGGAGTAGAAACCTGAGAGATACGATCTTCAACTCAAAAGCCCACCTCTCCCCTTTGACGCAGGGCCAAGGCAAGACAGGGAATAAACAGGTCATGCTCACAGTTCTCGTTTGCCTTTCCCCAGATGTGAAAGTTACACACCGACTGTGATTTTCTGCCCGAGTCCTTATTTAATTGTTATTTTGGGATCAGTTGGTTTTGAAAGATCCCCCAGCTGATACAGACTGCTGGCATTTTGCCAAGAGAGATAAACAGTCTCAGCTTGCATGGCAGTTGGATTCAGTGTTAGCAGAATATAGCAGCTGCCTCCCAGCAGAACTGTCTGTGCTGGAAATACCTGGGCGGTCTGATTCAAATTCACCTTTCAAATCTTTACATTGTCAATTTTGGTAACATGCAGCTGCCACATTCGTGAGCACATAATCAGGTTTCTCAAACAGTCGAAATCCCTGAAAACCATGCTGCTGAGCAACCTACCCCGATCACTCAAAACACTAGTGATTGTTCTTTGCAACCAAAATATGGAAACAAAGCCTGATGCTAAGCAAATGTTCACTTTTGCGCTATGAAAATGTTATGAATTACATTGAAATTACTCAGCACAATAATAAATGCTTACCAAGTGTTGTTATTTTGCACATCAGGTGGTAAAACTGTAGCTGTGAATAAATTGCTTATAGTAAGATTTTTTTCCCCTTTAATGCTGTAGCAGCAGATGGGCTAATAAATATGCAACACTTTGTAACATTTTGCAATTTCAGAGGGGCAAAGTTTCCTCCACCTTTCACACAAACAAAACATATAGTCATCCAATATTATACTTTTAAATGGAAAAGCTTAAGTCATGTAATGTAAATACCATTTCACTTTCAACAATTTTACTAGTTTTGCAACAGTTATAAGATGGAAGAACACATGAGATGGTATTTATGTTCTCTCTTTACAAGAACATTTTCTTCCTTTCTTGGGAACTTTTCTGAGTTTGAAAATAAGAAGGAGTCTCGTACCTTCATTGGAAATGAAGGGGGAGATCATCAATAAGCAGCAATTTATTATATGATTCTCTTTGCTTCTGGTCGAGTGTGAGTGATGGTTAGGAGCAGACTGTGGTGACAGACAGGTCTCTGCTCCTCATTAGCTTGATGACCTTTGGCAGATCCCGTTCTCTTTCTGGTTCCCAGTTTTTGCCTTTGTCAGGTAGGGTGTAAGTAGTAACCTTCCCCTTAGGGCTAATAAGAGGATTAAATAATGCAAGTAATGCCTGGCATGTGACATATTCAATGACCACTGTTTTCATTATATTTAACGTGACTGAGTGAGTAGCATAGGGTTTAATAAAAAATGTTTTTTATGGGAAAGGACAACCATGGTTAAACATAGGCCGTGAATTCTAACAGAAGAGGTAGGTGCCTTAGGCTCACATTTTTTGTTGTTCTAGCCTGTCTCATGTGGATAGAGGACAAACATTCATTCGCTGGCCTCTGTTTTTGGGGAAGTAACATAGATACAAATCCTTCATTCCAGGATGCTGAGGTTTAATCCCTTTGAAAGGAGGGTGCTCCACACTGTGGAGGGGCCTGGGGGATTCTCAAGTTGGTTTGTGGGGGTCAAGCAGGTTCTTTCTTTTCCCTGCTGGGGCTGGCTCGAGGATAGGAGGCCTCTAACACCACACCTGTTGGCCCAAAGGTGGTGAAGGCAAACTGGAAAATCACCATGGGGAAGAGACATGCAAGGTGACTGAAAGCTTGGGGGCAGCAGTGTTTGGGAAAAGGGCTTGTGGGAAAAGGGCTTGTGGGGTGCCTGTATAAACTGGTCATAAAAATATGGGACAATAAGTTGTGGAAAGCCACAAGAGGTCTCTAAGGAGGAAAGCCTCCTAACTGTCATCATGTTCCCATGCTCAGGGTGAGACTTGCTCTCTTATCTGTAAACGCTGTGTTCAAGGAGAAAGGCACTCCTTTGAAGCACTGGAATGTGGACAGACGTGTAGGCTCCTAGTTAAGTCTGCTCCCACTGGCTACTCTCCGATAAGTTAAAAGATACGCTGTTTGAGCACAAAGGAGATTCATTTAAACCACTATTGCTACAGATTACACCTATGACGCACTGCCACCCTTTCACTGTTTTGCCCGGAACATCTGCTTCTTAGATCTAAGTGATTGCACTCAATAAATAGTGTGGAGACCAGAGCTCGGCGCCTTTTGCAGCCTCCATTTTGCAACTGGCCCCCTGGCTCCTACTTCTATGAACTCTTAACCTGTCTTTTCTCAATCCTTTCTCGCCACCAGACTTCGGGTACCCTATGGGTGGTGTTGAGGCTGGTCCCCAACACAGCAGCAGCTGGGATCTGGGAGTCAGCCTCAGGAAGCAGCCAACAAACACATTAGTGGAGCATTGCCAAGGGAGTCCCAGAAAGAGCTGAGCAACATTTTGATGGAGATAGGGCAGCAGAGGTTCTGCTATTATTACCTTGGAGCGGACCACTGAACCAATAAACATTTGGGTTATGCTGATATTAATGACAATTATAGCAATAATAACTTGGTATGCAGCAGCACTCTTTGAAGTCCCAATAGTTGCCTTCAAGAATTATCACTTCAAGTTTGAAACAAAGTTATTTACATGTTTATCACAAGTACAAAGACAGACTTTTCTTTCTACCGTGTCCTTTATGTGCAAGCAGGGCAGATCAGTGAAAGTTCCTTAGCTGTTTTGAGAGTCGTTAACTTCCTTGTGTCTCCATCCTCCCTGCTTCTGTGAGCTGTCATCAGTGGAGAGCTCTGGCTACAGCCCATACTATCTTGGTGTCCTTGGGAAGTAAAGAAGGTAAGGAGTGATCTGAAGTGGAGCTCTTTGGACTGTTTTTGCCAGTTGTTGTGGCTATGGTTTGGTTTTTCCCAGTCCCCTTTCCCCCTGCTTCTGCTGGCAGCGGATCATGTCCCACCTCCCCACTATCACCGTGACTAGTCACTGGGACAGTAACACTCTGACTGTAACCAACACGACAGGTGGTTCAATCACCTGATAGGTGTCAGTCCCATGACCACAACCAAGGAGGATTTAACAAGGGGATTTTATTACTTGCAAGAAGTAAGGAGACCCGGGATAGTTCCCCAGAGCAGTGCCTCCGCAAACAAAGGTGAAACAGGGCTTTTGTTGGGCTGGTTAGCTGAGTCTTTGTGTGTGGAGGTGGAGTAAAGGCAACACAGGTGCATTCACCCATCGTGCTTCTTCATACGCTGCATGTGTAGAAAATGGCAAATAAACTCCTCCCTGGACTGGGTTTTTATTACGGTAATGAGGAGAGTTCACCAAAGTTCATCTCCAACTCAGGCATCTCTGGATCCATCTGGTTTTTATTTTTTCGGGGCTGAGCTTCTTTCTGGAGCCTTTTGGAATAAGAAGAACTCAACGTGCAACAGTTACAAGTGAGTTCTTTTCCACAGCGTGTACCCTAAAGCCTGGAACCCTGAGTTAAAAGAGTAGCACACCCCCTTGGCCAAAACAAATGGATTGCTTTGTGATTTAAGCTAAGCTGGGAAAGAGAAGCCTTCTTTCATCTTGGGCCACTGTCTGGGAATGATGGAAGCTTAGCACTGCCTGTTAGAGGCGGCCTAGTTCATGAGACTAGAGGCTCAGGATTGGATCTGATCATTTCAATACCATTTTAGCCCCAGGATTCACTAGGTAAGGCATACAACATATTCAGAGAAAGCACTATATAGGGTAAATCATTGGAGTTTCTCCATAGATGGGAGTTTTTGCTCCAGTGTTGTATCAGTGATAACTAGGTAATGCAGAAACATACAACCCTCAAATCTAAGCTCAATACAATGAAAGTTTGTTTCTCGTCCACACAGCATGCTGTCATGGGCTGGCAGGGGCACTCTAATTATCACAGTCTCTCAAGATTCCAGGTTGGAAGAATGATACAGGTCTCTAAGCCAGAGGGAAGAAAGTGCTCTGCAGGACCTATCACTGGAAAATGAGAAACACACTCAGCAGGAGAGTGACCCATCCCTTCCACTCACACCACCAGAAGAGACGAGAAGGAACCATTCGTTCCACACAAACCATCAGAACAGATGACAACAACCCATTACTTCCACTCACACCATCAGAAGAGACGACAGCGACCCATCCCTTTCACTCACACCATCAGAAAAGATGAGAAAGACCCATCACTTCCACTCACACCATCAGAATAGATGAGAACCACCCATCCCTTCCACTCACACCATCAGAAGAGATGAGAACCACCCATCCCTTCCACTCACACCATCAGAAGAGATGAGAACGACCCATCCCTTCCACTCACACCATCAGAAGAGACGAGAACGACCCATCCCTTCCACTCACACCATCAGAAGAGATGAGAACGACCCATCCCTTCCACTCACACCATCAGAAGAGACGAGAACGACCCATCCCTTCCACTCACACTATCAGAAGAGACGAGAACGACCCATCCCTTCCACTCACACCATCAGAAGAGACGAGAATGACCCATCCCTTCCACTCACACCATCAGAAGAGACGAGAACGACCCATCCCTTCCACTCACACCATCAGAAGAGACGACAGCGACCCATCCCTTCCACTCACACCATCAGAAGAGATGAGAACGACCCATCCCTTCCACTCACACCATCAGAAGAGATGAAAGCGACCCATCCCTTCCACTCACACCACCAGAAGAGATGAAAGTGACCCATCCCTTCCACTCACACCATCAGAAGAGATGAAAGCGACCCATCCCTTCCACTCACACCACCAGAAGAGATGAAAGCGACCCATCCCTTCCACTCACACCACCAGAAGAGATGAAAGCGACCCATCCCTTCCACTCACACCATCAGAAGAGATGAAAGTGACCCATCCCTTCCACTCATGCCATTAGAAGAGATGACTTGGCTCCACCTCCCATAGGGGGCCAGGAAGTGCTATCCTACAATGTTCTCATTCTGTTGCTCCTCAGTCCATTTGTTTCTTTCTTCTGGGAATTTTCCTTTGCCTTTCCTTTCCCACATCTAAAGTGAGCATTGGAGAATATGTCCTGCTTCAGGGCAGAACAGCTTTCTTAGCCTGTCTTCTGCCTGGGGAAAGGTGGAGGCTCCAGGGTCTTTTTAAATTTTGAACAGTTGTAAACATTTCTAGTCTGGTAGTCTGGGCTCCTGATTTCTCTGACTATACAACTCTCTCAAAAACTTAATTGGCTTCTTATCTTTTTAATTCTGATCAGCTTCCTGTTCCCCCAGTTACACTCAGTTCTTTTTTTTTTTTGAGACGGAGTTGCCCAGGCTGGAGTGCAGTGGCCCCAATCTCTGCTCACTGCAAGCTCTGCCTCCTGGGTTCATGCCGTTCTCCTGCCTCAGCTCCCCGAGGAGCTGGGACTACAGGTACACGCCACCATGGCAAGCTAATTTTTGTATTTTTTTTTAAGTAGAGACGGGGTTTCACCATGTTAGTCATGCTGGTCTCAAACTCCTGACCTCAGGTGATCCACCCACCTTGGCCTCCCAAAGTGCTGGGATTACAAGCGTGAGCCACTGTGCCCAGCCCACTCAGTTCTTTCCAAGACGTGCCTTGCTGTCTCTTGACTTGAATCTATTGGGCTTGATAGAAAAGTTGTGCTTTCATCTTTTTCCCAGGGCCATTTTGTTTTCCCCATTCTGGGACCCAGGCTGATGGAGAAGCCAGCATCTTGAACATTACAGTTGCTATGTAGAGTGAAAAAAATCAAGTGGCAAAATATGCCAGTTCTTAAATCTGTCACTTGGAAGTGACACGCATCACTTCTGCTCACATTTTATTGGCTAAAGCAGGTCATGTAGTCAAACTTCATTTCAAGTGGGCCACAGGGTGCAGGTAGCAGAATGCAGTTAGAGTGCATAGAAAGCTGCAGTCTTTGTGGACAGAACGAGTGACCATAGCATGGTATTGCATTTTGGTGAGCATGTGCTGCATAAACAGAAAGTAGGAAGTGAGATTAAACTGTAAAGACCACTGATTATTCTGGTAAGTGGGTTAAGTCTAAAGTAGCATGTTATTAGAATTAAATAATGTAATAATGTAATGGGACTGCCTTGAAGGTTTTACATAGGAAAATACCTTTGGCTGTCCCATTGGGGAGGAAATTGCAAGAAGATTCAAGTCCTCATATTAGAGAAATAGCTGGCTAAATGAATAGATTCCTGAAAGTTGGTTGTTCCATGGGATTTATGCCAAAGACTAAAGAATTTTGATGTTTCTTTGTGTTATTCAGACCTTTACGTGATTTATAAAAACTTCACGTGGCTGCAAGAGAAGATATCCTTTCAGATATTATTTGGGTTAACGAGGAAATTGGACACAGCCTTAGGATGAAATGAAAGGCAGGCACAGACTGAGTCAGTTGATTATTGCTGAGCTAGCACAGAATTAAGTCAGTAACTTAAAAACATAAATGAATGAATGTCAGAGCTCCATTTGTTTTAGGCTTCTGATTGTGGAGGAAATCACATGCCGGAGCTTTGGTAAATGCATGAACTCTACACATCATATTGGAGAGAACTGACATTTTAATAATATTGATTCTTCTCATCCATGAACATGGAATATCCTTTCAATTATTTAGGTCTTTGTTGTAGCTCTTTCCAAGACGTCTCTCAACAGCCTTAGCCCCCTGAAATTTACACCCTGTGTAAATTTGGTGCAGTCTCTACCACATTGACTCAGAGCTGGTCTGTGTGACCAATCGAATATGGAAGATGATGACGTGTGACTTGTGGGGCAAGGTCATAAAAGGCACTGCAGCTTCCTTTGTGGCTTCTTGGATCATTTCTCTGAAGGAAGCCAACAACAGTGTTTCATAGTCACTCAGTCATGTGGAGAGGCCCATTGCCCAGCTCGAGTAAAACCTTCAGATGGCTGCAGTCTGGACCAAAAAATCTTGACTGCAACCTCATGAGAGACCCCAAGCCAGAACCACTTGTTTAGAGCACTCCTGAGTTTCTGACCTGTTTATTCTTATTTATTTATTTATTTATTTATTGAGATGGAGCCTCGCTCTGTTGCTCAGGATGGAGTGCAGTGGCGAGGTCTCGGTTCACTGCAAGCTCCACCTCCTGGGTTCACACCATTCTCCTGCCTCAGCCTTCTGAGTAGCTGGGACTACAGGTGCCTGCCACCACGCCTGGCTAATTTTTTGTATTTTTAGTAGAGATGGGGTTTCACCGTTTTAGCGAAGATGGTCTCGATCTCCTGACCTTGTGATCCACCTGCCTCGGCCTCCCAAAGTGCTGGGATTACAGATGTGAGCCACTGTGCCCAGCCTGTTTACTCTTATTTTACGCAACTAAGTTTTAGGGTAATGTGTTATGCAGCAATGGACAACTAATATAATATTTTAATTCATATTAATAAATGTTTCATAATTTTGTGCATAGAAAACTTGTACTTTTAAAATTAATTACATTTTTATTAAATTTATTTCTAGGTATTTGATGTTTTTTGATGCTTCTACAAATTGTATACTTTAAATTTTATTAACATTTTGTGTCTTGTATACAGTAAAACAATTGATTTTTATATAATTACTTTTGTCCAACAACATTAATTCTTATAACTTTTAATAATTTATGTGTAGATAAAAGAGTTGTTTTAAGACACTAGATAAGTTTGTTAATTTTAGTAATTTATCTGTAGATTTTCTTGGGTTTTCTATGAATACAATAATATCATCTGCAAATAATGACAGGGTTGTGTCTTTCTAATTCATATGGCTTTTATTTTTAATTCTTGCTTTATTGCACTGGTTTGTACAACCAGTACAATGTTGAGGACAA